AAAAAATGAGAAAAATTTACCTGACCTTTTTAAAGAGGGGAAAACCTTGAATTTTGAAGAACTTTAAAAGTCATTAAAAGACATTTCAGAAGTCAGGTAAGCTCATCTCCCGCCATCTAGAAATCGAATTTTTTCCGGGGAACCCGGACCCTTTATCTTTGGAGTTCATTGATTAATTGAATCATTTTCAAGGGGTGGGGGGGAACCTTGAATTTTAAAGAATTTAGAAGTCATTAAAAGACACCACAAAAGTCGGGGAAAGCTCATTTCCCGCCATCTAGGAATCAAAAATTTCCCGGGGAAGAACCACAGGACCTCCCCTATCGATTCATGGAAAAACTACGTATGCAACTTACTCAATCTTTTTTTTTATGTATGTATACACACATAAGGCCTATTTACTGTAATAACAATGGGAAAAAATTATCTGAAAGTTTTCAAGAATGGAAAACCTTGAATTTTGAAGAACTTAATTACTTTTAAGTACTTCAAAATCCAATGTGTTCCCCTCTTGAAAATTATTATAATGAATCAATGAACCCAGGGAAAGGAATGTTCGAGTTCTTCCCGGGAAAATGTTGATTTCTAAATGGTGAACAATGAGATTTCCCGACTTTAATTTAAAAGACACCTCAGAAGTCGGGAAAGCTCATTTCCCGCCTTCTAGGAATCAAAATTTTCCTGGGGAAGAGCCCCCGGACCCCCCTTTCTTTTTGGGATTCATCGATTCATGGAAAATTCGTATGCAACTACTCATTTTTTTTTAAATTGTTATGTATGTATATTAATATAAGCCCTATTTACTGTAATAACAATGGGAAAAAATTACCAGACCGTTTTCAAGATGGGAAGACATTGAATTTTGAAGAACAAAAAAGTAATTAAAAGACACCTCAGAAGTCGGGAAAGCTCATTTCCCGCCATCTAGAAATCGAAATTTTCCCTGGGGAGGAATGTTGACCCCCACCACCTAGATTTGATTCCAGATCTGCATGATTCATATTCCCATTCATCTTATAAACAGTGGCGTAACAGGCGGGGCAGGGGCAGACTGTTTCTCCCCCCCCCCTGACGGTTTTTACCGGGCTGACCAAGCCGTCGTGTACCGGGCTGGCTGGGTAAGAAGAGAAAAGAAAAGGGGAGAGGGTGGGAAAGAGAAAAAAGGGGGAAAGAAAGAGAAAGGAAAAGAGAAGAGAATAATAAAGACAAGAATAAAAAGGAAGATATAATGAACAGATATCACAATACCCCTGCCTGCAACCCATTCTCCACTTCAAAAAGTGTCCATAGCGCATTTGATCTAAGCCGCCAGGTATTCTCCGCAGTGGCGTAATAACCGGGGGACAAGGGAAAAATATCCAGCTGTGGAAAGTCTTTCCCCATTGAATGCTCTTTTCACCCGGGAAAGTGCCTGAAAATCTCAAATTTTAAATCGCATAGTTTGTTGAAGTAGGCCAATTTCCTCTAAAAATTGCACATTTTAGGGAGTTTTGATCAATTCCAACGAAATTAGAATTTAAAAAACAAACATTTTTCGCGCGCTTCGCGCGCATTTTTTATGTTAAAATTTGTGCTTGCTCACCTTTGCCTTCTAAGTTATAACACATAGTCTCAAACTCAAGAAAGAAAATTTAAGATAGATCGTTTAACCTATTAAAAAAGGGCCTCAATGTGTAATGATGTTGAAAGAATATGTTTGTAATAAATAAAGCCATAAGGAAAATACTTATATTCAGTTTTAAAAAAAAACGAGTGTGGCCATATGTAACATAAGAGCATTTCTTGTTGAGGTAGGCCAATTTCCTCTAAAAATTGCACAATTAGGGAGTTTTGATCAATTCCGACGAAATTAGAATAAAAAGCACAAAAAAAATTTTCGCGCGCTTCGCGCGCATTTGTTAGGGTTGAAGCTTGTGCTTGCC